GAGAGTAAAAGCAGGAATGGTACATTGGGACAGCAGATGGTACTACACATCAACCTGTGTAGCATGGCTATTTTTGTCAACGTAATGAAGAATATATTTGTCAATTAGAGTTGTCATGGAAATTGAGAGAGACAAAAAACATTGAGCAAAATCAAATATGATCAAAAGGGCTGGAGGTCTCCAGTTCCTGTCTTTGCAACCCCCACTATAATCATCTCTGGTGGCTGAAAATAGGAGGGTCTTGAGTTTATATCTCAGAATGAGACTTTGCCAGCGAAACAGGTCTCTTCACACCATGTCAAGGCAAGGATAATTATTTTCTCAGAGAAAATGATTTTTCATTCACTGAATCACGTACAATTTGCTTTATCACTTTGGTTTTCTTTGACAGTTTCTCATCTAAGTCAGAACCAGCTTTAAAGTGGAGCTGATATATCAGCAGATCTGTGAATTTCACACATTCACAAATGCAAAGTACTCTCTTTCCCCCCACAGCTGTAGGAAATACAGTGTGTATCAGCCATTGGCTTTGAGCAAGAAATCCTAGTTGCCATTGCAGAGCAACTGTTGGTGTGCCCACAATGTGTCCTTGACACACAGCCCTTAGAGAGTCAACCAAGGGCCAGAAGGGAAAGGGGATCTTCGCAAAGAGACAATGTCTCAGGGGACAGGGAAGTCCCAGGCAGATGGGCACAATGAGGAGATGACGGACTCAGTTTCTCCTCTCTGCTTGCTGCCTCCAGAGGATGGCCTGAGTCTTTAGTGAAAAGGACAACTTCAAAGGTCTGGTGTCATTGCTACTGCGTGCAATTTATTTCCTAGTGCCAGATACACTACAACAAGCTTTTGTAAATTTATTAGAGAAACCACTTGCTCTTATCGCTAAAGGCAGTTACTCTAAGGATACCATCTGGGCAAAACTGGCCCCAAGTTTAGGCATTGCTTCCTAAGGTTTTATAACAACTTAACTTAAAAAAAAAAAAAAAAAGAAAAGTTATTATCTCCATGTTTTCTTCCCCTTGGCTCTAAAGGAAATTATTCTTAAAAAAAAAGTTTGTTTTGTATTTAAAACTATTTTCATAGTTTAAAATACCCTGCCCCAGAGTCATTTGACTTGAGAACAGCTCTGGGGCAAGGGAAGTCAAAACAGCTCCTCATTACCATGCTCTGTGCTGACATAAATAGTGTGGAAAATAATACAGTGCAAGTAAAACCAGTGCTGCCAGAGTGAGCTTCTAACACTATTAACCAAGTTCCCCAGCAGCCATGAAACTGGTTTCTAAAAAGACATAGTGAAATCATAATAAAAAAGTGAGTGTTTTCATTAAAAGCTGTCCTTACTTTTTGAGTCTTCAGGTTGTACCTGATTTATACTTTCAGTCTTAGCTCCTTATATATCTTGCTTTTTAAAAACAACAACCCTCTACTTAGAAAAATGAGGTCTGTAAGGAACACACTGAACATCAAACGTCTGTCTATAAAATTCACACAATTTGGCAACACTGGAAAGGAATTGTATTTAATATTCTCACAGCTTTAATAATCTGTGAAATGAT